GCAGCGCTCCTGCCCTGCAGCGTGTCCCTGTCCCCGGTGGCTGCCTGCCAGGCTCTGCCTTCGGGGGTCAGAGACCTCCCGCTTATCTCCCTTCCGGCGGAGGCGAGTGGGTTCCACCCCCGTGCCGGAGCCCCCTCACCCGTAACCCAACCCCCGAGCTGGGGGGGCCACCGCGGGTCCAGGATGTGACTGGAGGCATTGGGGCACCCCGGGGTACATCACCAGCTCGGGGCTCCCTCGAGAGGTCTCACATCCATCCAAGAGTGGGTTTGGAGCTGGTGCTGGAATAGGGCTGAGACCTCCCGGCTGCTGTCAATGGTGACTGGGTAGCCAGGGGGGTTGCCCTGAGTGGCAGCTGCCAGCCCAGGAGTGTCCTTGGCACATGGGGTAATTCATCCCCAGGAGCTGAACGTGCTGGACCGCAAGAGGCTGATCAGGTGATGGTGCTGATAGGACTCTCCTGGGGAGCCCCTGTGTGGCAGGGACGGCTCCTCATGGCTCTGTCTCCTGTTCCAGGCACTGCTTCTCCCAGGTAGAATGTGTCCTCTCCCAGGGCTGCTACTGGAAGGACCTTGACCTGCCTGGGCGGGGACCTGGCCAAGAAAGTGGGCCTGGACTATGCCATCTAGGGCTTACCTCAACAGGTATAGTATCACTGGCTCCATGGGGAGGGAGGCGTGTGTCCCCCAGGAGCACTTACAGCTGTGTAGACTCCAGCATTTGCCCCCTCTCCCCAGGCTACCAACTGGATCCAAGCCATGATGGTGTGGGGACCCTCATGATGATGAGCTGCTGCGCCTCATCCCACTGCTGGAAGAGCTGGGCCAGGCAGTGAGGACACAGGACTGGGGCTGGGGAGGGGTCAGGCACCCTGGGGTCTATGTCAGGACAGTGTGAGCTGCCTCAGACACTGTTCTGGGCTCAGCCATCCCCTATGCCCTCTCTCCTTGTGCAGGAGGATGTGTGCCCCGAGATCCAGTGGCAATTCCAGAACAGCCAGCTGCCCACCAAGGACTAGGCCAGACTGGGCTGGGGTAACGGGATGCAGAAAACCTTGAAGGGGACTGGGCAAAGCCATGACCCCAGGACTCTCCCTTGGTGTTTACATGGATCCCAGTTCATCCCATGGTTGGGCTGGTCCTCCCAGGGGGAGCCCCTTGTTCTCAGTTGCCTTTGGAAGCAAAGCTCCATCCCTGCTCACTCTGTAAGGGTGTGCTCTTTTCATGGATTGTTCTACACTTGGAGAAAGGTCTGGCTGTCTGCCTTAATTCCCAAAACTCCTCAGCAGAGCAAACACACTGTGCTTGGGATAGGACAGCTGGAGAGGAGGGGACACAAACCATTTTTCATATGTCCTGGGGCAGTCCACGGTCCTGGCATGGGGCCAGTGTCCCCAGGAGAGCCCCAGCTGGCAGCTCTCCCCATCTCATCTCTGCCCAGTGCCAGGGCACAGCTGCCACCGTGCTGCTGCCAGCCCTCATGGAGCAGTGAAGATTTGGGAATGTTTGCCTGTGTTCACCCCCATGGCAGGGGGAGCAGGGTGGGCAAGGCATGCAGCCACCCTGGGACCCTTTTCTTAAGGCCTAAAGGCTGCTGGTGGACAGGAGCTGGGGACTGTGGAGTGTGTCCAAGCTGTCCTCTGTTGGTTTTGCTTCACCGGAAGTTTTGTGGGTTCATGGCTGAGCTCCTGCTGTGGCCACATGGGTGCAGCTGTTTGGAGACATGTCATATCTCATCCTTCTGTGCCTGGGAAAGGGCACAGGCCTCCTGGCCCCTCTGGAAATATATCCCAGAATGGATCAGGTCCCCAGGGGTATGGGGACAAGGCAGGTGGTGGGAGCCCCACCAGCCCTGTCCCAGTGCAGAGCTGGACATGGGGTAGGCTCAGCCCAAGTGCCACTGGGAAGGGAAGTCACCCTTTGAAAAGAGGGTGGTTGGAAAGGTAACAAGCAGTTTATTTTGGAAGCCAGGCGAGATCTCAGCTCTGTCCCCAGCTATGTCCCTGCAGTCCAGGCTGGTGTCCCTATGTTCTAGCCTGGGGACATCAGGAAGTCCCTCTTACAGCGCAAAGGCCCATGCAGTATGTGAGGCAGAGGACAGCTGGGAGGACAAGGATGCTGCAGATGAGGATAGCCATGAGGTTCCTCGGCCGCCTCCTCGAGGCAGAGGAGGTCTGTGCTGGGGAGCAGGTGTGGGTGAGCTCCTCAAAGGTGTGGGCAGGGGGACAGGATGTGCAGTTCGTGGCTGAAGTGCCCTAGCAGGTGTAGCAGGAGGGGTGGCAGCCGGCACAGAAATGGGTTGTGTCCCTGCTGGTGCCACTCCAGCCGTAGTAACATGGAGGGCAGTAGGACAAGCAGGAGCGCGGGTGGGCATACAGGGAGCTGCCACACTCTGTGGAGAGAGGGTGGGGTTAGCCCCCAGGGCCTGGAGCCCTCTCACTGTCCCCCAAAAGCCTCACTCACCCTCACAGGTTCCCCCGCATGTCCCTCCTGAGGCACTCGTCCTCAGCAGTAGCTGTGGTGTGCCTGACTGTCATGTCCTCATCTGTGCCATGCAGGTGCAGGATGAAGCTGCTCAGCTGGCCTGGGGACAGGACTCAGGATCTGAGGCCCAGATGAAGATGGAGCCTAGACCACCCTGTCCCTGGTGGGAAGGCAGAGGAGGTGAGCAGAGGCTCCTCATGCCCCTGAGGTCTGTGCTGAGCATACCTTGGTGATCCCTCTGTGGAAAGCGGCTGCACCCAGCACTCCAAGCCCATCCACTGTCTTCGTGTTGTCCTTGGGGCCCCAGCTGGCGCTGTAGATGTGCATGTGCTGGGAGTGCAGGCTGAGGGCCTGAGCCTCCAGCATGTCTGTCATGTCACCATCCAGCATTCGCACACCTGAGGGGCAGGGGCAGGAGCAGCTGTGGTCAAGGGGTGGCAGGAGCCGTGCCAGCTCCAGGTGGGTGGGAGCCATGCACGTGTTGTGTCAAGGGAAGGACCGGGGGGCACTTCCCTGGCCCCCTCTTCACCCTCCTTTGCCTTGAGCACCTTTCACATGACCCTGGCCTAAGCAGATCAGGCTCCCATGGGTCTTTGTGGCTGCCATGAGCTGGTTCCAAAGCTGCTCATTAAGCCTTTTGTAACTAAGCCCAGGGAGTTCTCCCAGCTTTTAACCCCCTTTGCCACCCACACTTCCACAAGGGAGCCTGAGCCTGCCCTGGGGTGGATGCTGCTGGGTGTTGGGATCGGGAGTCTGAGCCTGCCTGAGGAGGGTGCTGCTGGATGTTGGGATGGGCATTAAAACCCTGGGGAGGACCAAGTATGATGTGTAGTGACACTGCAGGACCCTCTGCTGCCCTGCAAGCCCCCCAGAGCAGCTCCCACCTGAGGCCACACATCCCCTCAGGGTGCTGGGGCTGGTTTCCAGCCTCCTTCCCACTGGAGCAGTGTCTCACCTCCGATTCTGGCGAGGAACGTGACACCTACCCCACAGATTCCGTTGTTGGCCACAGCTGCCACTTCTCCTGCACAGCATGTGCCATGCCTGGGGGAGACAGGGACCCTGTAAGCGGTGCAGGGACCTGGGTCAGCCTCAGCCCCTCCTAGAGTTGTGAAGCCCCCAGGGCAGCGTGGAGACAGAACCCACCAGTTATTGTCCCTGTCGTCGTATCTGGGTTGGGGATCGGGGTCATGGCTGTTGAAGTCGTATCTTGCCAGCGGATCCTGTTACAGAGCGAGGCAGCGGCGTGAGCAAAGTGCCTCTGGGCAGGGTTGTGACAGCTCGGCACAGGCGCCTGGCGCTGTGCCCAGTGTTGGCACCGTGCAGAGCTGTATCTGCCAGCACAGGGGGACCAGGGGGGCCCTTCGTGCCCCACTGTGCCGGGTTAGCCTGGAGGTACATCCAGTGCAGAGAAGGGAATGGGGCTGGGGCTCAGGGAGTGGCTGAGGGACTGTGGGGGCTCACTCTGAAGAAAAGGAGGCTCAGGGGGCACCTTCTCACTCCCTACAACTCCCTGAGAGGAGGTGCAGCCAGGTGGGATCAGGCTCTGCTCCCAGGGAACAACAGGGCAAGAGGAAACAGCATCAAGCTGTGTCAGGGGAGGTTCAGGTTGGACATCAGAAGGACTTTCTCCATGGAAAGGGCTGTCAGGCATTGGAAGGGGCTG